AATTTCTTTTCTGCTGCTTACTTTAACCATTTATTAGCTGCTATTCACTTCGTTTATCATCGTTGTTTGCTGTTGTGCACGTTTGTATATGATGGCGCGCATCATAAGATTATCTTATGACAGGCTCGGACATTTTTCATAAAGGTTATCCTGAAAAATTACCTTCTGTTTAGCATTAGTGTACTTTTTACTTACTGTCCTAGGATAATTTCATCTGACATCTCTTTTCAAAAAGGTGCCTTGACAAAGCAGCTACTCTCTCAGATGCTGAGGTCAAAACTGGTGACTACTCTGATAAATGGAGGATCTGCACTGTAACACAGGTGGAGGAACTTAAGATTTTGATCCGAATGTTTCCTATCTGGGCTACTGGAATTGTCTTTGCTGCTGTCTATGCCCAAATGTCAACTATGTTTGTAGAACAAGGGACAATGATGGACACTTCTCTTGGTTCTTTCAAGATTCCTGCTGCTTCTCTTGGAACTTTTGATGTTCTTAGTGTTATTTTCTGGGTCCCTGTCTATGATAGGTTCATTATCCCTATTGCAAGGAAATTTACAGGTAAAGATAAGGGTTTCTCTGAGCTGCAACGTATGGGAATTGGCCTCTTTCTGTCAGTCCTATGCATGTCTGCTGCTGCAGTGGTAGAGATATGGCGATTGAATCTTGCAGAAGAGCTCGGGTTGGTTCACAAAAAAGTTCCCGTGCCAATTAGCATCTTTTGGCAAGCACCTCAGTACTTCTTACTGGGTGCGGCAGAGGTGTTTATGTTCATTGGGCAGCTTGAGTTCTTCTATGATCAATCTCCAGATGCCATGCGAAGCTTATGCAGTGCGTTAGCACTTCTGACTACAGCATTGGGGAATTACTTGAGCTCTTTTATTTTGACCGTGGTAACATATCTTACAACCGCAGGCGGAAAGACTGGGTGGATTCCTGATAACCTGAACGAGGGTCATCTTGATTATTTCTTCTGGCTTTTGGCTGGTCTCAGCTTCTTAAACATGTTGGTATATTTCGCATGTGCCGGAAAGTATAAACAGAAGAAGGCCAATTAAGCCTGTCTTCCCAGTTGCTATCGGGTTGCTGGTGTCCTACCCATTTCTTGAGCATTTCACGTGTCCAGGGCCCATGCGAGAAGTGCTCAATGCCCGGGTGCCAATTTGGTAATTTCAATGCATATATCATTATTCTGTTGGATTTAATTGGATTGTACACTGTAAATATTGCTCTGTCTGCCTTTAATCAATTCATCTGCTTTATTTGTGTTGAGTTAGACAAAAGAGTTAGGATTCAGTCATGGTATAAACTGGGTAGAGCTGGGCTTGACCACGACATGTCAAGGCTTGGCACTTATCACAGATTGTGAAAGACTGGACATGAACCATCTTGGTTAGGTGTCAAGTAATTTCATTTCGCCATATATGTTTTTGAGATTTTAAGTATGTGCTCTCTGTTTTAGGTATGATTATTATTATTTTTTTTTAAAAAGAAAGGGTTGGCCAGAGCCTTACCGGAATGAATTTAGGGTAGTATATGGGTTTGGATTATTATTATTATTATTTTTGTTTTGGGTGAAAACTAGCATATGGATTTAGGTTAGTAGTATATACTGATATAGATTGTATCTAACTGATGGGTTTTTAATCTAGCAGTTATCTGCGTTTTTTATTTATATTAGAGATCTCAGTTTTTGAC